AATTATTATATAAAAATACAACTAAAAATTACACGAAAATTTAAATTAACAATAATACTCAAACTTAAATTTTATGTATTGATATTCTTCAAACTTACATTTTCTAATTTTAAATTATCATTAGTACTCTAAATTACATTATTATGGTCTCATGAACAAAATTTAAATGTATCATTCTCCTAACATATATGAGCATTCTTTCAACACGAAAAAAACAAAGTTCGCATGGGAAACGAGAAAGAACTTACGTGTTTTTGAACGACGTTAAACCAAAGCTCGAAAAATTACCGAACCAACAAAAATCTCCAATATCACTTCAAGCAGCAGCTTCAATTGAATCTAATGCAAAAAAAAAAATCCCTCACTTGCTTCTGTAAGTTAAAACCAACTGCATGCAATGAAATACAATACCCACCCCTATTTTATAACAAGTAATTGAAGACTTCGAGTAAATTATTAGTCTCACGCTTCAGACGAATCTCACGCTTCAGACGAATCTCACGCTTAGGACACAAAGAAGACAGGCGCATGCAGAACGAATCTTAGAAGAAGACGCCGAGATTTCACGACCACCTGCAACCAAATATTCTCCATGTATAGCTTAAGACGCCGGGAAATCGAACGCCCTGTAACCCTATTAACTAAAGACGCCGAGCACTCCTATTATTGTATTCAACTGTTAAATCAACTCTGCATGCATGCAGAGATGAAGACGTTCAGCCCCCAGAATGCATGCACGATTCAGAGAGTAATGCAGAGATTCCCGCCAGACGACAGGTGAAGACGCCGAGAGATCCACCTTGGCATTCCTATGCAGAAGACGCCGAGAGATCCCACTCCGAGAGATCCCAATTGCTTGAAGACGCCGAGCATTCCCATCAGACGACAGGTGAAGACGCCGAGAGATCCACCTTGGCATTCCTTGTAGCATGCAGAAGACGCCGAGATATCCCACAGGCCAATTACTTGAAGACGCCGAGCATTCCCATAGTGTCATAATCGAAAGACGCCGAGAAAGCAATCATGGAAAAATTAACCCTAAAAACACCGAGATATCCAAAGAACCACATTAAGCACTGTACATTTCACCCCATTTCGGAAAATAATAAATAAACTGATTTTTTTTTGAGAATTAAACAATCACTAAATCATTATTTGGGCAGTTTTACAGTGTAGGCGTAGAGACAGCTAAGATTCATAAAAGCTAGATTTAGTAAACCAAAGGAGGAAAAAGAAGGGGCAAAGCCAAAGGCTATTGTTGTCATTTCCGCCTAACAAAAACTTCGATGTTGCCCTTCTATAAGAAACCCAGAAATCTTTGCGTTTCTTACCAAGTCTTTGCACATCTCTCTCTCCATTCTGCAGATTATAGGGAGAGAAAGATCTGATCTTTCTCTCTCTCTCAAATCTGAAGGGTCAGGCCTTTTAGTTTTCAATTTATATAAATAGAGAGAGATAGAGAGGGAGGGAGGGACAGAGACAGTGTCATATATATATATATATATATATATTTGAGAGTGAGATTCTGAATCATGGGTGTTGCGAAGAAATTTGCTGTTCTTTTGTGCGCGGAGGATTCTGATTATGTGAAGAAGAGGTACGGAGGTTATTTCGGGTTATTTGTTGAAATGCTGGCTGAGGAAGGGGAGATGTGGGATGTTTTTAGGGTGGCTAACGGTGAGTTCCCCGATGATGATGAGATCGGCGATTTCGACGGCTTTGTTATAACCGGGAGTTGTAATGATGCTCATGGGAATGACGTTTGGATCTGTAGGTTGGTTTCTCTTTTGAAGAAATTGGATTCCTTGAAGAAAAAAGTCCTCGGGATTTGCTTCGGTCACCAGGTAAATTTATTTTTATTCCTTTTTGATACATTAATTTTTACCACTGCTATGGTGATTTTAAGTATAATCTTCAATCCAGACTCTTAGATGGCATTTGGTTAGTGTTAAATAAAAAAAAAATGAGGATGAGACGAAGAAAAATAACGCATTGATTGTATATCATGTGTTCAATAAAACGTGACTGAGAATCTCAGTTAATGGTCACCGTCCCTTGTTCTGGCTTGTTGTGCCTGGTCCAGAGTGCACGAGTCACAATACCAGGTTCGACGGCTGGTGAACGACAATAAAATTAAGAAAATGCGGCCCCTCTCCCGTACATGAACTTAGAACCGAGTGGTCCATCAACCGTTGCTCGTCTGTCGATTTTGGTGAAAACATTTGCACCCACAATTCCTTCGGATACTCGAAAATATTCGTTGATAATGCGGACAATTCACATGCTTGTTGGACATTCTCAGCTCCTAGTGTCTGTCTTTTATATGTATTAAGACTTTATGATAATATATATTAATAATTATTCTAATATTATTTAAATTTGGTATTTTTTAACAATATCCATTTTTAGAGATGACAACTGTCGGCTAGACAACTTCCTGCATATCTTAAAACATGTGGTTGCCAATTCAGATTGTCTTCCTCTTATATTTTTCAATTGTTTTCTGGGGACCCTTTTGTTCATTCATTGCCTTGCTTGTTGTTCGTTCATTGCCTTGTTTGTCCCATTTTAAAAGAAGAAACAAATACTGAGATTGGAATACACTATTGATTGCCATGTTAAGTTCATGTCACGTGATTGGAATCAGTTGCCTATGCCTTGAAGTATTTCGGTGATTGTTTATTTGGATCAGATTCTTAGCCGCGCACTTGGAGGGAAAACCGGGCGAGCCATCTCAGGTTGGGACATTGGTGCAAGAACCATTCATTTATCATCCTCCTCATCGATGCTTTTCACGTCTCTGCAAATTCCTATCACTCTTTCCATCATCGAGTGCCATCGTGACGAGGTTCGATCCTTTTTCCTTTAATGAAGAAACCGATAAGGTTTATGTTTTATGTTTATAAACATGATTATATGTTAGGTTCGAGAACTTCCACCCAAGGCAGAGATCATAGCATGGTCCGAGAAAACTGGGATCGAGATGTTTAGGTATGGGGATCATATGATGGGCATCCAAGGCCACCCTGAGTACACCAAAGACATTTTGTTTCATCTAATCGATCGACTCATTCAACGCTGTTACATCGAGGTACGTTACATTGACCATTCGATAGGAACCGAGCTAGTTTCATGTATAGATATAATTGATGACGGTTTATTGATTCAAATGCAGGAGTCGTACGGTGATGGGTTGAAGGCGAAGTTGGAGACAGTGGAGCCTCACAAGGATGCGTGGAAGAAACTTTGCACCAGCTTCCTCAAGGGTAGATTATGATGGATGATGTTTGCTTTTATCAATAGTGTTGTTGAAAAATGCGTTAAGAATAAAGAAAAGTAAATAGCAAGTAGAAAGAAAGTTTAGTGAGGTTTTGTGATGGAATAGGCACAGATGCACTGATCATTAAAAACATGGTGGAAAACCTGTGCTTAGGTTGTCTTCTCTTCTACGGGCTTAATAAAAATTTGCTGATTTTTAACGTTTCCATATTTCCCCGTCACTTGATCAAACTCAGATTTAAAGAATCTTTATCAAATCTAAAATCTAACTCAATTTTGAGATAAAAAATCTGTATCCGATCTTAAATTAGATATTACTATATATATATAAATTTCATTTTTGTTAAATAAAAGGGTAAATTATACCGTTCCTCATTGAACTATACTTTCTCTCCTATTTTCTTCATCCAACTTTTAATTTTTTTTAATTTGCTCACTAAATTTTACAAATTAAATCATTTTATTCCCTCTCCTGTTATCTAGCGTTTTGATGACATGATATTTTTTAATTTTTAATATAAAATAATTAAGAAAATAACACAAAATTGAAGGTGACCCGATGCCACCGTCGACCACCGTAGATAGTGGTCGTTCGGTCTCAAATTTTGGGTCATTTTGTATTGACACCGTGAGTCCGAATCTGTCCTTTATTTTGTTGGAACTTGCTTCGAAGTCCACAAATTTGAGAATAAAAGTGAAGAAGTCGAAAAGTTTCAATCTAGTTTCACAGGTTTTAAGACATTTTTCAGTGAAACCACTAGATTCGGATTCAGATGATCGAAATGAACAGACCCATAAAATTTGGTACCGAACGACCATTATCAACGATAGTGGACGATGACCAAAATGAAAATAGCATGATGGCTGGCAGCTGCAACCTGTTGCAAGGTAGATAGAAAATGGGGGAAGAAAAAAGAAAAAAAAATAAAGAAATGAGGAAGAAAAAAAAGATTTCATAATGAATTCGAAACAACGTCGTTTTAGTGAATATTTGAGTTTTTAAAACGACATCATTTTGATATTTATACTATTTTTTGTGTTATGTCATAACATCATTAAATAGTTAATAGTAGAATGAGCAAAATAATTTAATCTATAAAATTCAGTAAGCACATTAGAAAAGTTTTAAGTGATAAAATAAGAGAGAGATAGTATAATTCAACGAGAAACGATGTAATTTACTCTAAATAAAATTGAAATATAACTAGAAAACATAAAAGAATATTATTAACATATGCTTAATTGGATTAAGAATTCTTCACTATAAATCCATTCAGTCAATTTTTTTTAAGAAAACCTCGATCTTGAGTCAAAACGAAATCTCATATAAACGGACATGTAGTTAAAAAGGCTTAATATATATTTCCCCCCTCTACTGTGTTCAAAATTTCAAAAAATTTCTGTCATTTTACTCCATTTTTTTTGTTTAAAAAAGAAATGTGGCTTAATAATCAGAAAGTACAAGTTAATTTTTAAAAATATATATATATAATTAAAAAAATAAAAATGCAGAAACTCCTAGAAAATATAAAAAATTGTTTTAAAAATAAAAGTATTTATTATGTTTATTAGTATTTAAAAAAAAAATAAAATTATACTTTCTCAAATTGTGAAATTTATCTCAGAGAAGATTTGGGCTATAAACATAATTACAACCAGTAAGTCACCATCAAATTTCAATTTGCAATTGATTTGATTCACACCACCATTTACTAAAAAAGTAAAAATAAAAGGATGCCAGTCGCGTTTCAATAACGATATCAAGGTTCAACAATTGACCTTAAATAGTATCAACTGATTATTCATAAGTGATAATAATGGAGTTCAGCTTCATTATCCATCCACCGGGAAAAAACATAAAAAATCCTAGTCCAATGGCACGACAAGAAATGGTGAATAAGCTTTTTAGGCACCCAACACGGACCCTGAGTTCTTCCTGCACTCGGCCAACATGTCCATGTAGAATTGACACTTGCTGATTTCGTTTCCATAGCTGTTCAAGCACTACAAGTAACACAAGATTATAAGGACATCAGTATGTCGTTATCGCTACACTCTTGAATAGAATTTCAAGATCATGCATCCTAACATGATGAATCAGCACCGGTGGCATCTACATTAGTGTAAAACACTAAAACCATGACTTAACCACTTAATTTTAAAACTTGAACCATATGTGATTCATTCCAAATCAAGAAAAGACATTAGGAAAATTGTCATTACAGGAAACACAACTAATCTACTAGAATATGGGAATTGTTCTTTTGAGTTTTGATTCAAATTTCCCGTCCGACACAGCATGCAAAATTTACCAACCAATATCATGCATACTACCATGATGAATCAGTAATGACGGCATCTACCACTAATGTAGAACTTGTAACTAAAATGATGATTTAACTACTTTCTAAAAAACTGAGACAATAGTACTTGATATTAGGCCAGCCGACAAAGAAACCTAGCAGGTTATGGGGATCACGCATTTAATTTGAGGTTCTAGTCAACCATAGCATGCAAAACTTATAAACATTTTAGCAAGCTACTAAACTATCAAGTAATCAAATATCAGAGAGTGAAGTTCACATACGTCTTGGAATGCCTTGGTGTGGATGCTGCATGCATCAGAGCCAGAAAAGCTATTGGCGGCGGATACTGGTGCGGGGACAGCTGCAGCCTCAGAAACAACAGTTTCATGTTGTATAGTACGAGGACCCATCACAGCATCCACAGCCCTGTGAGCCACAGCACTTCCAGTTCCAAAAGCCATACCTGTAACACGGAGATAAAGAAGGAAAAAATTAAGAAATATCAGGGTAAGGAATAATCATAAACCAACCAGAGACATAAATAATAAGTTCACCATCTCAGAAGGATCTATTCACATACCCTGAGCTATGGTTGAGCCTATTCCTCCGAGCATGGATCCACCTCCACTCTGAGCAGGAGCCGGGGGAGGAGCATGATGAGCTGCAACAATAAGAATTAAATGCAATTAAACATAGTGATCAGTTAAACAGTTAACTACTACTAACTACTTATCTTAAGGGGAAAAAACAATGTTAATATATCGATATAACCATAATAAAAATATAAAGACCCAAATCACCTGGTTGAGGTGGTGGGCTGCGAGCAGGAGCTGGGCGAGGGGTAGGGCGAGAAGCAGATCTTCCTGTAAAACAATAAGAACAAATAAAACACCCCAAAAATTGAAATGAAAAAGCTGCTCTAAACAAAATACAAAATTCATACATCGAAGTGTTCCAAGAACAAGTGGAAATCTAACAATTTACAACTAGACAAGCACAAAGAAAGAAATTCTTCGAATAACCAATATTAAAGCAAAACCCAGAATAAAACTAATCACACAATAAACTTTAATCGAGGAACAAAGACTAACTAACCCAAGAAATCAGATTAAATTAGATGTGGGTCATACATAACTAAACACAAAGAAAACGAAGTAAAAGACGCAATAAATAAATTTTGGAAATTGTAGATCTGAAATGAAAGGAAGGAGATTAGATGAGAAAAACTAACCAGAGCTTCGGCGAGGCATGTTGGATGTTGGAGAATTGATGAAGCGGCGACTAATCTCTAGGAAATTTCTGGAGGTAGGGTTTTAAGGCTTAGAATCCCAATAAATAATGAAACTCGTAAATGGCAATTTATAAATCTGAGACATGAAGATTGAAAAGGTGGTGTTGGTGTTTATCAAAAACGTGGCAGACCGGGATTGGATATGTTAACTACTAATTTATAGCAAATAGTAATTACTACTAATTATTTGTAAAAACAATAATACCTATTTAATTAATTAAAATCTCCAAATCTGTTTCCTTCCCAAGTAAACACAATGCATTTAACAAAAAAATTTGAAAAGAAAAAAACATTTTATTTCTCCTCCAAAACCCTAGGATTCATAAAAGAAATTCTTCATATTTAAATATCTGATTTTGCATCCATCGATTAATCATTGAAAGTTAATGGCTGAAGAAGCAGTATCGACGCAGCCTCAATCATCGGTGGCTCCATTGGGATCTTCCGTTATACCGATAGTGAACAAGTTACAGGACATCTTCGCTCAGCTTGGTAGTCAGTCCAGCATAGAGTTGCCGCAGGTGGCGGTGGTCGGAAGCCAGAGTAGTGGTAAGTCCAGCGTGCTTGAGTCTCTCGTGGGCCGCGACTTCCTGCCTCGTGGTTCTGATATCTGCACGCGCCGTCCGCTAGTCCTTCAGCTCGTCCAGATCAAGCGTAAGCCTGATGGTTCTGAGGAGGAGTATGGCGAGTTTCTTCACTTGCCTGGAAAGCGCTTCTATGACTTCTCGGAGATTCGAAGGGAGATTCAGGTTCTGTATTGCTTGCTTTTTATGATTGAGAATTATGTAGTTAGGCATTTTTATTCTTCAATTAAAAAAAACTGTTAGGCGTTTGTGAATTTTCCCTTGCTGACTTGTTGCTTAAGCACGATGAACATTATTAGATAAATTTTAAAGCGCGAAAGATATTTGCCATATAAACGTGACACAATTAAGAGACAGGAGCAGCTGGGACGATGAGTTGTGATTGGGGAAACTGGAAGCTTGTAGAAAGGAGAGTAATTAGGCTTTAGGCGAAATTTATATTGAAATGTCCTTCAGCTAAATAAATCTCATCTGATTGCAGGCTGAGACAGATAGGGAGGTTGGAGGAAACAAAGGTGTATCCGACAAGCAGATTCGACTTAAGATTTTCTCCCCTAATGTTCTTGATATCACTCTTGTGGATTTGCCTGGAATCACAAAAGTTCCTGTTGGCGACCAACCCTCTGACATTGAAGCTCGAATTAGAACCATGATCATGTCATACATTAAACAGCCAAGCTGTCTGATTCTGGCTGTTACTCCGGCAAATTCAGATTTAGCAAACTCTGATGCTCTACAGCTTGCAGGAAATGCCGATCCTGATGGTACTTCTACTAGTAAAACCCACTTCTGCTTGAGCTCCTGTTGTTGTTTATTTAATTAAATAACTTTGATAATTTTCTTCTTGCAGGTTGTAGAACCATTGGGGTTATTACAAAGGTGCATCTTTTGACATGAAAATCTCATTTCAAATTTTAGCATTGCCTATACACAAGTTATTTTAAATTTCTGACTAGTTTTGGCTTATTTGCAATTTTGCATATGAATCAGTTGGATATAATGGACCGAGGTACTGATGCTCGTAACTTGCTGCTTGGAAAAGTGATTCCCCTTCGACTTGGTTACATAGGTGTTGTGAATCGTAGTCAGGAGGTAAGAGTGTAACCTTACAGAATTGAAGATACTATTTGTATTCTCTTACTCATTTTAAGCAAATCATTACTCAGTACCTTGTTAATGGGATGATGTATCATTTTTATGGTTATTTTTCTTAAATATTTTTGCTGTAGTAACTATTTCGAGATGCTCTAGTGGCATTTTGGCCTTTCTTCATGATTGTCCTATGAGACATAGAGTAATCTTTTCATGCTATTTTACTAGATGAGATTGTCCTTCCCATTTGCACTTCCTGCCATCTGTTTTGCATGGTTAGAAATGATCATAGGTTTCTTCTTGTTGACTTCTTTTTTAATGGTCAGCCATATTTTAGCAATTAGTCGTACAATGTATGCAAGAGCACTGATATAGGATGGGTACTACTGCCTGAAAAACCTTTTTTTCACCTCCAAAATAGCAATTAAAATGAATTATTGTTCAGTAAATTATCATTGTTTTTATTCTAGAAGACTTTATTTTTTCTATTTTAAATCATATACCGCTTATCAGGTAGCTTGCTTTCCTATGGTTCTGATAGTTTGATTGCATATCTAAACAGGATATTTTCATGAACCGGAGTATCAAGGATGCCCTTGTTGCAGAGGAAAAGTTCTTCCGGAGTCGTCCAGTATGGATGCACCAACCTTTAGCAATTGTTCATGGTTTGATACAGTTTCCATCATCAATTTACTTATTTCTTTTTTCTATAGGTTTATAATGATCTTGCTGATCGCTGTGGTGTGACTCAGCTGGCAAAGAAGTTGAACCAGGTAAAATTTTTGGAACATGAAGTTTCTGAAACTTTATGGAATATAAATCTCAGTTTTGAATATCCATGCTTTGTAATGCTTGTGTGTTCTGTTACTATTACTTATCCTATTAATACTCTTTCTTCAAGCTAGGCATTTGGTGAAACCAATGGTAAACTTGCATGTCTACTCTATCTAGACTGTAGACTTTAGAGTTATTCTTGAGGCTGAGTCATATCTGGAGCATTCCTACTTTCCTATGTTCTTTGACCTGAATCAAGCACCTTGATGCTTATAAGATCTGTTAAGGTTTTATGCTAGTTGGGGACCTTTTTTTGCAATTCTAGTTCAGCCTTGTGACCCAGTTGTGCAAGACTAGAGACGTATAACTTGGATAGGGCGAATGTATCTATTTCTTTTATCTCATTGTTGAGTCTTTCTATGCTGCTTCCAATGTAGATTTTAGTGCAACATATCAAGACAATACTTCCTGGACTGAAATCACACATTAGTTCCGCACTGGTGTCTCTGGCAAAGGAGCATGCAAGCTATGGAGAAATCACAGAATCAAAGGCATGCATCTCTATTTTTCTACCACAATCTTGGTTTAGAAAAGTATCTGAAATTATTTTCTTATGACGATTATGATTTTAAAATCTGTAGGCTGGTCAGGGAGCTCTTCTTCTGAATATTCTTTCAAAGTACTGTGAAGGTAAATATTTTGCTTGGCTGTCAAATCTTCTTATTAATATTCTTAAACACTTAATGTATACATTCTAGTATATTGGTACTGATGCCATAAATCAATTCTTCGTTTGAAACAGCGTTCTCATCAATGGTAGAGGGGAAAAACGAAGAAATGTCTACATATGAGCTGTCTGGTGGAGCAAGGATTCACTATATTTTCCAATCAATCTTTGTTAAGAGCTTAGAGGTGTGTAGACTGAGATTTGTGCCTTGAATATTTTTCACTCTTAGGTATTCGTAGTTAGCTGGATTTGTTTTCCAATTCCATGTTAGGGGTTTGTTTTGTTTTTATACATCTCTTTATCATTAGGGTGTTCCATCACGTCATTGTACAAGAGTTGGTCCTTAATTACTATTTACATTTTTTTATAGGAATAGAGGCCTCATTAAAAAACCCCTTCATGATCAATGGAACTTGAAGATAGTTCCTTAATCAGCGGAAGGAGGAAAAGAGTGCCCTAGGAATTCATTAACATCAAATAATTACATAGTAATACAAGGTCTAATCTCCCTAAAGAGATAGAAAACCAAAAAAAAAACAACCCTTAACAGAACATAATTATCAACCAATGCCAGCCTTAACTAGGACGTCCGTCTCTATATTGGTTGTCCTATTAACCCATCTAATAAGACCTTCACAAACACTAAGCTTTTGAATAATGTCTTTAACAATTTGAACATAAACGACAGGACATAAAACAACATCCTTAACCCAGCCAACAACCACCCTACTGTCACTCTCGATAATCAACCGATCCTTAAACCTATGACAAATAGATTCATAAAAATCTAAACCCTTTAGGATAGCTTTCAATTCCATCAAAGTTGGAGGCCCCGGACCAGCAGCCTCTTTGAAGGAGCCAAGAATCGAACCAGACATGTCTTTTAGAACACCACCTAAACCACTCCTCTTCCAATCACTAGAAATAGCCTCATCCACATTAAGTTTAATAAAGCCCTTTGGAGGAGGGGACCAAGGAAACATAGTTGAAATCCGATTAGAATGGGACGAACAAGAATCCCCTAACGAAGGGTCAGCAATAAGAGCATCCTTGGAGATAGAAATATGAGTTTCCTTAGCTAAAAACCATGAAGCAAGCATGAACCTTGCTAGAAAGAAAATTTCTGCTCGATCTAGCTTCCCTCCTTCGAACACTATAGAATTCCTAGTTTTCCATATTGTCCATAAAACCACTCCAGGGATAATTGACCAAATTAGAGAGTTGGTCTTCAAGTCAGCCCATGCTAGTAGGAATCTTTTAGCATCTTCATGAAAAACAGACTGCAAATTCCTGTAGCCCATGAATTTAGTCCATATTGGCCAAACAACCGAACATGAAAAGAATAAATGAGATGGTGACTCTTCTATTAGCTTACAAGAAGGACATAAAGTATCATTTATGCCCTAAACACCTCTCTTAACCAGAGCTGTCTTCACTGCCAGCTTCTTTAAGATCACTTGCCAAAGAAAAATCTCCACTCTTGGAGACAGCAAGCCCCTCCAAACAATAGTCTTCCAAAAATTAGCTTCCTCCGAATCAGAAGTACCCGAATAAGATAGATTAGCACATGATTTAACAGAGAAAACCCTGTCTCCAGTACCCTTCCAAAACAGTCCATCAACAGAATAAGATAGAAGTACCCGAATAAGAAGCGTGGACTCATCGGAGGAGAAGAATTCCGAGAGGTGTTATGAGGAAGAAGACAGTCAATTATTGTGTATGGGGATCAAAGCTGAAGGTAGCAACTTGTCGGGTGAGGATGAGGAGGAAAGGAACATAGGGGAGGAAATAATTATGGGTCTGAGGAATAATGTTGCTGGTCAGGGGAAGGTTCAAATGCAAATCGAGGAAGCGGTGGAACATGAGGAAGTGCTGGAAGCGATGGAACATGAGGTAGGGTTGGATCACGTGCTGAGAGAGGCAGAAGATGACAACAGGAAATTTGGTAAGACTGCACGTGTTAATGAGGAGATGAAGGATAATTTAATAGATTTGAGGTGGAGGATGTGATTAATATGGGCCTTACAAATAATTGTGCTATCATAATATCTAAGGGAGAGGAAGTCCAACAGGATGGGGTTGTGGTTGAACGGGTGATTGGAAAACCCAAATCAGGGATAGTATGTGAGGATTTGGACCAGAGTCTTGGCTTGTCAACACAATTGAGGGACGTTTCTTTCTCGCTCAATTCCAGGCAGAACCAGAGAGCTAAGGAGGGTATTAACAATAAATATAGCTCTCTCCAAATAATTGAAGAGAAATATTCGGCTCCCCGTAGGAAGACTAAACTCTGCCGAAGCAAGATTAATCAGAAGAAGGTGCATCGCGAGGAAGAATGGACTGAACTTGAAGGCTCACAAGTATTTTTGATTTCAGAAAACTATAGCAGTGGAAGAATTGGAAGTTTCAGGTGATTCGCATTTGATTATTGAATGAAGTTGGAGGCTCGGATGGTCTCCGATGACAAGACGAGCAATAAGTGGTAGAAAGGCGGATAGAGTGATTTTGAAGCTAGATTTTTTTACTCTTATACTGTGGAAGCTCATGGCTTTTGTGTTAGAATTTGGCTTTTTTGGAATGAGTCAGTTGATATTGAGGCTGGCAAGATGATGGATTCTTTCATAGTATCTACAGATCCAGGCCCTCCAACTTTGCTGGAGCTTTTTCCTAGGTCTTGTAATATGGAGGTAGACAAGTTAGTTAAGGAGGGGATTGGTTGATTGTTTCAGGCATTTGGTTGTACTGTTTTCTGTTGTATTCCAGGAAATGTTTAGCCGTTAAGTCTTCATTGTTGTTGCTAAATTGGTTAACAGCTCAGCCAAAATTTATACTGTGTTAGTAGCTTAGTTGGTTTAGGCTGAGCTAGTTCTATTGTATAGGGTTGTCTTCGGTTCTTTTTTGGTTTTTTGGTTATGTTGGGGGTGTTTATCTGGTTGTATCTTATGTAATTTCTTTTGGTTAATGAAATCTTTAGGCACTCTTTTCCTCCTTCCGCTGATTAAGGAGCTTCTCTACAAGCTCCTTTAATCAAGAAGGGGGTTTTTAACGAGGCCTTCAATTCCTATAAAAAAATCCGAAATAACAGCCATCAAATTTGTCCATTGCTCAAATTCCCAGTCATTCAACTCCCTTCTCAACTGAATGTTCCAAAACCAGTCCCACGAGCTGTATTCCCCAAACTGAAATAATTTTCCAGTTTTGTTCACTGCAATAGAGAAAAGTCTAGGGAACACGACCATTAAAGGATGCTCCAATGCCCAATTGTCTTGCCAAAACCGAATATTCCTCCCATTACCAATTTTATAGCTATATTTGCTTCTGATTATACAGCCCATCGAGTCAGCTTTAAAATGATTACTCACCATAGATCTCCATATCCAAGATTATTTACATCATTGTACAATATTATTGTTCATTAATTACTATATTCTGTAATTAGCATTTCTTTGGGCTCTGTGATGTGTGCATTTCACTCGGTAATGACATACTCTTTTTAGGGACAGGATTTAAAAAATCGACAACCTTACAAAAATAAATGGTTATCTGATTTCTTGATATTAATAAGATTATTTTCTCACCTTCCCTCTTTTCTGGTACTAGAATAAAACCTTCATACCTCTTGCGTATCTATGCTGCTTCATTTATAGCACAAACATCAGCAAGAGTCGTACATTGCAACTCTAGAAATTGTTGATAGATAGACATGCTCTATACAATTGCTTTTTATGTACATAGTTCTTCGTGGTGCTGATTTTGAGTTTTTTGTTAACTGATTTGTTTCACAGGAGGTTGATCCTTGTGAAGACTTGAGTGATGATGACATTCGAACTGCCATTCAGAATGCAACTGGTCCTCGATCTTCACTATTTGTGCCAGAAGTAGGTTCAAGTGGCTTCTAATTTAATTCGTTAATCTATGATTTTTTTTAAATACAAACCTTGATAGTTGTTTTTCAATATATTATTTTGAATTACTTTATATTTAGCCTAGTGTTGCAATTCAACCTTTATGTGTAGGTCCCATTTGAAGTACTTGTTCGAAGGCAGATAGCACGTCTACTAGATCCAAGCCTTCAATGTGCCAGGTTCATATATGATGAGTTAATAAAGGTGATTTTATCTTCCAGACTGTCATTGTAGTTTCAAATCTCTATCATTGGCAATCTAAGATTTCTAATAGAATTGTTCTCTTTCTAGATAAACTATCGCTGTATGGTGAATGAACTGCAGCGGTTTCCTGTTCTGAGAAAGCATATGGACCAAGTGATTGGGAATTTTCTTCGAGAAGGCCTTGAGCCATCTGAGACAATGATAGGTCATATTATTGAAATGGAGGTATGCCTGTGCTATTGGGAATTTTATAGTATTATTTTATATTTTGATTCTTAATTCTATTACAAAATATAAACTTGATACTGTGGATGTGCAAAACATTTATGTGCCATTTTTGACATATGCCATTTTTTTGCAGATGGATTACATAAATACTTCACACCCGAATTTTATTGGTGGGAGCAAGGCCGTAGAGCTTGCCAATCAGCAGATCAGGAATTCCAGGGTTGCTTTGCCTATATCTAGATCAAAGGTAGATCTACACCGCTAGTCATTTCTCGGGTACTATTGCTACTATTAATCTTAAATTCTCTTGATTTTCATTCTTTTTTGTTTCTTTGACTTAATCAGGATGGATTAGAGACGGATAAAGTACCTAATTCTGAAAGAAGTGTTAAATCTCGGGCTATTCTTGCTAGACAAGTTAATGGAATTGTGGCTGATCAGGCATGGAAATTGTGTTTCTGCTGCCTTATATATGCTTCCCTTCCCTTCCCTGCCATTCCCTTTTGCTTTTCCAACCTTTTTCTCCTTCATCCGTCAGTTATTGATGATAAATAACCTGAAACATTTTACTCCTTTTGAGTGCAGGGAGTCCGTCCTGTTGCAGATGTTGAAAAAGTCCCTTCTACTGGTACCTCTATTTTGGCTGTCATTTTGAATTCTTATATATGATATTATGATGTTCTATTTGTGATCGTTGTCTAATAAGAAGGCCAATATTGATGGTTTTCCCCCTACCCCCTTTTCTTTTGTCTAGGGGATTTCTGATCTGAATTTTTAGGATTTTGATAGCACTCACCGTGTTTTGATGTAATTATCAAGCAGCATAACATTAAAACGTTTATTACATGTTTGGTATATCAGGTACAAGTGGTTCGACTTGGGGCATTTCATCAATATTTGGTGGCAGTGATAACCGTTCATCAGTGAAAGAGAGCTTAACAAACAAGCAACACGGTGAACCTGTTCATGACATGGAGCAGGCTTTGTCCATGATCCATTTGAGAGAGGTGCATAAACATCAGATAATCCCACAAAGTTCCAGTGCTAAATTAAAAAAATATATATGAGTATTCATTCTTGACAAGCATTTTTTTTGTCTCAGCCCCCGTCTGTCTTGAGGCCTTCAGAAGACCGTTCAGAAACTGAAGCTATTGAAATTGCTATCACTAAATTGCTCTTAAAATCATACTACGATATTGTTAGAAAGAATATAGAGGACTCTGTGCCTAAAGCAATTATGCACTTCTTGGTAAGTTTTAAACCAAGTAGGTTTTCTGATTAAGTTTCCTTTTGCCTTTTGTTGTTTTATCTATGTTCACATCACAGGTCTTGAAATTCTGAAAACCATTGTCTAGTTAGGAAATTGTAGATCTTTCAAGGCAAGTTAATTTCCTTTTTTCACCTTATATAAGTCTATTAACTGCGTGGATTGACCTAAACAATATTTGGCGCCTCATCAATTTCCATCCTCCTCAAGTTTAATATGGAGAGAAGCTTGCATCATGAACCCTGAACAAGGTTCTTTTCTTTTTGTGGGCTGTTTATGTGTTATAGTTCTGGTAGAACAGGCGTAAATTTCATGATTGTTGTATCCCGTTTTTCTTGTACATGTAGAACACGGAGCTTCCGGTCCGAAAGTTTAATCGAGATTTAAGTGGTTATTTTTTCTGTATATATTTCATTTATTGAAATCTGAAACTGGTGCAAGGCTTGTACAGTTGTAAGTACAACTGTACAAGCCTTGTATTCCTAGTTCTTACCCATATTCCGTGGTCAAGTATTGCTTTGTTAAGCGGCAACAATATATATGAATATTGATATGTTTGTTGATAATATCCATATCCAGGTAAACCATACAAAACGAGAACTTCACAATGTCTTTATCAAAAAGCTTTACAGGTGATGCAGAGCTCTGTGCTAATTGACTTGATTTAAATTATTTGTACTTTTTGACTATTGCACACTGTGGAGCATTCTGTACGCCTTTTATGACCCAAAAACAGAGAGAACCTGTTTGAAGAAATGTTACAGGAACCTGATGAGATTGCTTCTAAGAGAAAACGTACCCGAGAAACACTCCGAGTTCTTCAACAGGCATTCAGGGTGCGTTCTCTTTACTGCTTGTCATCATATCATAATCTCTACAGTGATCACAAGTTTTCCATCTGTTTGTCAAAAGAACAAATGAAAAATGTCTTTTTCTATGTCTACATGCATGTCAATACGTCATCAATCACCTGACGAATTCGCTTAATTTCAACGTTAAGTGCATGCAGCAATGTCTATCGGCTTTGTTTTTTTATACTTTTTTAAAATTCCTTTTGGATAGACATTGGACGAATTGCCATTGGAAGCTGAAGCAGTTGAGAGGGGTGGATACAGTTTGGATTCTGATCCAACAGGGCTGCCGAAGATCCATGGACTACCAACATCCTCAATTTATTCCACTAGTGGTTCAAATGATTCCTATATGGCTTCTCCTAAAAACCCAAAGTTTCGCAAGTCATCTCACTCCGGTGAACTATCGACACACTCGTACGCTAATACCGATTCAAATGGAAACGGACGTAGTTACATGCCGGGCCTCTATCCGACCGTTGATTTCTAAGATGAATGGATAGGTAAGCTTGCATTTGAGTTCAAGTTTTCATCAAATCTGGAGGCATTATATTCATTTGATTGCTCAATCTAGTTTCTCCCCCGAATTCTTTGAAATCCCTCCGATCGAAGTCGGTGAATCGTTGTGTTGGTTTTATCTTCCATCATTATATGTCTGCAAGTCGGCTATCATAATTTAGTGTCATAATTGCATTGTTTATAGGTCCAGAAAGAACAATGGGTGTGAGAACCCTGTTTTTGGCGGTGTCAAAAACAATAGTTTTACGTCTAACTATTCTTTTTGCAATCCTTATTTTTATTTTATTATCATATTTGTTGATATGAGCAAGGAGTAACTTTCAAGCACTACTTACTGAATTCATAATTATTTACTTATGAAATATATATAATTTATTTTTGGGATAAATGAAGTTTGCGTGAATATATTATAACGCATTTTCAAATGAAATAAATAAATTAAAAATACTAAACATTAAACTTTATTTATGGTGAGTATTCAATTGGGTTAGTGAAAAAGATTCGAGTTTGTTAAATTTATTAGTACTATTTTATCACTTAAATTTTATTTGAAAATTTTCAGTTGATATGATATTTTGAAATTTTAGTCAAATTGAAGTAAATATATTTGATTAATTTTCTATTTAAATTTAAATATATTTTTTCATAATATTATAACATTGATTGATTTTTTTAATTTAAATGATTTTCTCTAATTATATGTAAACATACACACACACACACACACATATATATATATATATTCATATTTTTTTGTGTAAGTTTGACATGTAATTATTTAATAAATTGAATATTATTTAAAATTATATGATATATTTATAATTTTGTTTAAAAAAAATTATATTTAGAAGATACAATATTGATGAGAGTATAAAGGGATAAAAATATGTTATTAAAGGGATAAATTAAATAAATATAAATTTGAAGAGTTGAATTAGAAAAGAATAATTGTTAAGATAAGAATCGAAATAATATGGTATTCTGTAGCTTTAGAACATGTAATTAAAATTTGATAAAACAAATGAACTTAGAATAAATGAGAAATTAAAGAAATAAGAAAAAAAATATAAAATTAAAGGATTAAATTAAAAATAAATAGAAACTAAAATTATATAAGTATTATAATTGATTGAAAAACATGGGATTCAAATTTTATCAAAATAAATTTAAAACAAAATGAACTTAAAATAGTGTTAGACTTGGTTTATCAGAACATATCCAAGACACAAATGCCATCTTTTCACTTGTTCTTGACGAGGAAGATGTGAGCAGCATTCTAGAAGTTTCAAAAAGAGGGAAAGATCTGCTTAGAGTGATAGGGGATTGTGGAGACGAGTACCGGCGTGCATGAGATTCATTTCAATCAGATCTCGGTGTCTGCTAGAATAACATATGCATGCTTATATCATGTTCATGGTGTTACTTTTCGCGTCTAAGATATAAATTTTATATGAATTGACATGTTTGTGGTATAAAAGGTTTTGATGCTATCCATCTCTTGTTTGTCTAAAATTATTAGAGTATGATGCCAGTCTCCAACTTTCTTATCAATTATTATTTGTTTAATCAAAAAAAAATAAAGAAGAAATTAAAGAAACAAGAAAAACATATAAAATTAAATTTTTAAATTGAAAATAAAGTTTTTTTTAAAAAAATAAATAGGAACTAATTATAATTCATTAAGAAACATGAGATTCAAATTTGATCAAAACTAAATTTAAAACGAAAGAACAGAAGAAACAAAAAAAAATGAACAAAATCGAAAAATAATTGAATTCTTTAGTTAAATATCAAAACCACATTGTTTTAATTTTACTTTATTATAAGAAGCCTGCAAATTGAATCTCGAATCAGATTTGAAATACAAATAAAAAATTATAACTTAAATCCACGACGTACTGATAATGATAATCATGTCAACCAAACTAACATTCAACCAGTTAATAATTTATATAGTTTAACAATTTAATCATTGAATTAATCAATATACTTTATTTATCATTTAAACATTAATCAAGAATAATGTTGTATTAATACAGCTTTAACGATTGAAAGTTTGATTACATAAAAAAGTAATTTGAATTTACTCAAAACTTGAATGTCAGAGACGGCTGTTGTTATATTATAATTCATTTAGTTTTGCATATATATTCTTACAAAATTAGATATCTGAAATACTATTATTAGAAAAAATAAAAGATAAATTTATTCTCAAGTATAAAATGAAACTACTAAAATGAAGGGGTAAGTAAATGAGAGCCGAAGAGAAAAAAGAAATCATTGGTCGGACGGTCATAATTGGTTGGGCAGAGTCAACATACATCCTACCGCAGAGAATAACTTCCTTTTCTGACACATGATGGGTCCCAACCAAGGGGATGAACCCTCTTTACGTCAGCCAATCACCAAATTCTTATCCAAAAAAGAGAGAAAAAAACATATCTGATTTCCTATTAAAAACACACACGCATTGATACCAAACAGAAGAGGCTCGTAAGAGAAAATCCAGACGTATATTATCATTGTCCTTTGTAGTTGTTCTTCAAGAAAGAAGAAAGAACACAATGAATGTAGAAGAAGAGGTGGAGCGACTCAAGGAAGAAATCCAGAGACTTGGCCAGATCCAACCTGATGGTTCTTACAAGGTATCGTTTTTTAATCTTTTCTTATTATATCTCATCTGGGTTTTGGATTTTATGCAAAATTTTGACCATCAAATCTATCCTTTTTTTTATCTGGATCTGGATCTGGGGTGCTTCAACCTCCATTTTGTTTGTCCCATTCTTTCCTCTATAAGCTGATTTAGCGATTTGATAGTCAGACCTGTTTACGATTTTATCACATTGCTTCAATCTGTCCAGTTAGATTCATTCCCTAATGGTTGAACTATTAAAAGAAACAAGGGGAAAAGAATGGTTTGGGAAGGCAAACTTCTGAAACATTTATTAATAATATATGTATAATCAACATTCAAAGTAACATGGTCATCAAGCTTGTTACAAACTTCACTGTTATCGAAATGGTTCCTCGTTTCCTATTGTAGAATTGGTGATAATCTTTGTTCCACTCAATCCATTCTGCAAAACCAATGAAATATACAAATTTCTTTTTGTAGTTTACTAGCTAATCCAATTCTGTTCTTCCATCCGTTGATTTCTTCTGAATTCGAATAAATAAGCATAAAAAATCTTATGGAAAGTATTAATTTTATGTTAATCTCCAACCATGCGTCCTCGGTGGTTAAATGAATGATTCTTATCTCTAGAGGTCTTGGATTCGAGCATAACATCTGTAGGAGTATTTGAACGTTCATTTTCAAATGATTGAGAGTATTTCGATCATATACCAAGTTACAATTACTTTTTTCTAATAAAAAAAAGTCAAAACACCCACATCAATTCACCATCTGCATTGCATTGAGATTTGAAGTTGGATGGTGATTGATACACGTTTACTTTCTTTCCACCCTTAAGAATCTCATAGGCTCTTTCTAAGGGTTACAAATTGACATTGTCTTGGGCATGTTCACATCATCTGACACTGCAATGCCGAAGTTGGATGATTTGGGTTTTTCCACATTTCATTTTTTGACATCTATGTTTGCTACAATCTACTTATTTTTTTCCAGCAAAACTATATATATAATATCTGTTGTTTGATGTGTTCAAGGTCACATTCGGGGTGCTATTTAACGATGATCGATGTGCAAACATCTTCGAAGCACTAGTTGGGACACTAAGAGCAGCAAAGAAACGAAAAGTTGTAACATATGATGGTGAATTATTGCTCCAAGGAGTTCATGACAAAGTGGAAATTACACTCAAAGCTACACCAGCCTAGAGCAGCAAGTAATGCAGTTCTAAATCAAATAAATTGCAATTATGGTTTTGCAGCAAAAGTTTGATGGGTATTCTATGTATTATTTTTTTCAAAGTTAATCGTATTTTAAATCTTGCTTCAGCATAAGTACATGTACTTCCGAATACTCTTTCATAAGATTTCCAGTTTGTGTACACCCAGATTTGTATATATTTTCTTTTGGTTATGTTCAAAGTGTGATGTCTTCATCTATTATTTGCTGATAAAGGCATAAACTGCACATGGGTGGACGACTGTAAGCCAAGGGCGAAGAAATGAAATGAAAATTTTTCAATTGGTAAAAAATGTTAGGTTTGAATGGAAAAATACCCTCATGAAGGGCAAGTGAGGATGAATGCTTGAGGGTGTCTCATAAATGTCAAAGCTTTAGTTTTCGATTTGAAGTTTCAATAAAGGAGAGTGGATACAAGCATATGCTCCAAATTCCAATTATGTTATCTGGACTTGGGCAGAAGAGCACGGGTACTTTAAGAAAAATGAATAGTTCGGATAACAAAGCATTTCATAAGTATAAAAAACATTAAAAGGTATTATAAGATAGACAGGAGCTGACATCTTTCTATTTAGCATAAAATTGAGATACTCGAGAGAGAGAGAGAGAGAGAGAGAGAGAGAGAGAGAGAGAGAGAGAGAGAGAGAGAGAGAGAGAGAGAGAGAGAGAGAGAATATCAATTACCTGAGATGCCAATTTATTCATTGTCTATGTACAGATGAACAAGGTGAGGGTGAACTAAATCTTCACTAGAAGGGATGAGTCATTCTAAGAAATATCAGTATTGATGTTTACTAACACGGGTTACTAATTCTACCTGAAAGCACATCTTCTATACTAAAAACATATCAATGCAGGGTAATTTTTTAGCACAACATAAATATCAAAACTTCAGAGCATAAAATTTATTTTTTAAAAAATAGTTAAATACTTGAAAGAATCCATCATATGAACAACTTGATCAAAAACATCTGCTTATTTTGTTGTACTCCAACCTAAGAGTCTGTTTTCAACTAAAGAGTTCCACGACAATATTTTCAACAGAACAATCTAAGAATGTGCGAATTCTCTACTTTTGGGGGTTTATATGTCAGGCACCTACTATTGCAATAGAATGTTCATTTGAATTGCAATTTGTGAATTGTGAGGATGGATATAAGGCCACTAAGAGCAATAGGATTAGCATGAGCATAGCTTAAAATGAGGCCTTTGTGGGTGAAAATAACAACATAAGAGGTCATGGACCCACATCACCAAGCCAACTGACCATAGTAAACATAAATTCTTATCAGTGGTTATAAAAGAAGCTCAAAACTTGACAGTAGAAGAAGGATATGATAGAAAAAAGTGATCTCCATAAGACATTCACTACAGAAAGAACCTAATTATTGTCCCGATGATCAGGGTTTGCATAGATGGCTAGACTAGTGTACACTGCTTGAAAAATAAAAAGAAGAAAAGCAGTTAAGTAGGGCAACAGCTTCAAGTTTTTCTTCTCCTTTTGTGAAAAACATTAGGTTTAAATGAAAGATTTCAGCGTGATGGACCAGTGAGGATGAATGCTTGTAGGAGGCTTTGAGCCGCCTGGGTTTGATCAGGTGTCCCAGATATAACAACAATCCTGTCACTTGTTCCTATTTGAGGTTCATGCACTATAACCTTGGCACCAGAGATCTGATTGATGTACATAAAAGGAAAAGTTGATGTTGATTTAAGATTAGATATCTCATAGATATTGTATATTGACATCAATAATGGTATCATGGTTAGGAAAGATACTTAGATTTTTTTTGTTCTTTAAATTTGCTAATTCTTTTTTTGCATGCATGATAAACTGATAACCGAAAAGGTGTACCAAGTTAAGTGTGAGCTCTCAAACATATCGAGAGTTTCGAATTTTTTGTTGTTGTAGAATTCAAGGTACATGGCTTGTTTTTAACTGTTGTACATTTGGGAATTTGAACATACTGTTTTTGGTTAAGACTTTAGAATATGTTCTTAAATTGTTGTCATAATGGCATCGGTAATGACTGCATTTTAACTTTGATTGCCCTTTTAGTCTCAAATTCATGTGGTTTGATTTCCGCTTTTCAGGTTGTGCTGTCTTATGTTCTTCTCTAAGTTCTATCAAGAGTTGATTTGCTTAGATGTTGCTTGTATAATTCTTTGTAGAATTAGGAGCAGAACCACTCTAACCAACTAAATACTATTTTTTCAACGATGCCAACAAAATAGTGCATGAATAGTTGAAAAAAAAACTATTACCTCTCTTAAGCGAGCTAGATTGCGACCGTTCTCCCCATAAACAGAGTCGATAACATTCTCTGGAACTCTAATCTCTACAGTTGTGTTTGTTACAATAGCAGATCTGTTTCCACTGCAAACGTGAGAAGAAACTGTCATTACTTCTTTCTTTTTTTATAAGAGGTCATTACTTATGAGAAATTGTCCATAATCCATCCTTCTCTGTATTCTCGGCTCCCAATTTTATTAGGCATCAGATAATACCATTAAGTATAGCAATAGGAGATCAACATCAATCATGAAACCTAACTAATTATTTTTCCAACATACAAATTTTTCATTAAGCTACGAACCTGCCAAGTTCTAGCCCACCTCTAAAAGAAGTCAATCCTCTTCCACTATCTGTGATGCCCCTCAGATTCAATCCAGTAGCCATCTGCAATTAAAATCCGGCTACAGGTAAGTAGAACTATGCAACAATTCAGTTCCAGCACATATGTTATTGTTCATGAGTGAGACCAAGGTACAAAAATGTACACACTCTCATCTAAGAGAATGGAAAGAAGCCTACCTCTGATGTCCACAATCCTGCAGAACGAGGGCGATCTGAGCTGTAGGAATGTCCAAAGGGATTTGTGCTATTCGCTGCCAATGAAGTATGCCGGCTAAGACTATGAGAAAAGCCGCTTGATGTTTGCAACTCAATAGGGGAATTATCCAACAATCTTTCGTAAGGACTAGTCTCGATTAAAACTGAGGAACTGCTTTTTGCTCCGGCAGTTTTCAGCGAGATAGAAAATAGGTTATCTCTTAGTTTACCAGTCACATGATACATAGCATCTTTTACATTCATATAGCCTCCTGAAATCTGTTTTAAAAAAGAAAATACCAAAAATTAAGCAACTCATGCCTTATGAAACACCAGCCACATGATACATAGCATCTTTTGCATTCCTATACCCTCCTGAAATGTCTTTTAAAAAAGAAAAACACCAACAATTATTAATTAAGCAGCTCATGCCTTATGAAACATCAGGTTCATATCGTTTTTCAAAATCTCTCATGATAAAGCATAACAGTAGATTAAGTGAAAATGCGTTTGCACTTGCAACAAGGAAATATAGGTCTTTCCTTGGCCAAAATCAGAATACGTTGGAACAGTGAGGGAACCCGGTAGAATAACTGGTGTCATAACCTGAAATGTTTTTGGGATAATTTATGTTATAAACCGATCATGCTGTCACGATTTCCTTTTAACTCTAACCTCTACAGTATTAGAACCATCTGTTCATATTTCTAGGAGATAATTCTTCAATTGAAATTTTGGAAAACAAAAAATTTAACACTTTTTTGCGAAGATTTCTTAAAAAATAAGAAGCTAGTTTTATATCAGTAAGCCTATGTATAATAATTAACAAAAGGTCCAGCGCACCTGTACCACTTGATCATTTCCACTGACACACTTGGGGAACTGATCAGTTCCCAAAATCCAAATGCTGGTACCAGTCACTTTACGCATTTCAGAAATTGTTGCCCCTCCTTTTCCTAACAGACAACCAACTTGGCTTGAAGGAACTACAAGCCGGGCAGTGACATTTGAACCCTTACCTGAGCCTGAGTCTAGACCTTTTTCAATGGAAGCCTCATAAGCTCTTACAAAAACAAGGACAACAGCCTTTTGTGCTGGAGAATATTGTGATTCCGGGTCCTAAAACATATCAAGTCAATGAGAGCGTTTCAGTGACAGAAATAAAATAACTTTAAGCAAATGTAGAATGTCATAGAAGATCAGAACATGACTGACCTCTGATGCAGTAACAGTAACCAACCGTTCATCACAATCAGTGAATGTAGCTCCAACGGTAACAGAAGCCCCTGTATCACTTTGAAGGGCTTTAATAGTTGCACCACCCTTTCCAATAACACCCCCAACCCTATCATTGAGGCAAAGAATTTTGAAAACCACTTCCTGCAGCAATGTTTTAGTATCCAAAGGAGAGGCATTCTCGAACTCCAAAGACAAAGGATGAAATCTGGTGGCATAATTGGTAGAAACACTGGGTACACTAGGCACCAGGAAACTATGCCGTGAAAGATGATCTACTTCTAAATCAGGTAAATCCTCATGTGAAACCTCAATATGTCTACGAAATGATTCTTGAGGAAGAACACCAATCGATCTGCGCAATCGGTCCTGGTGGACCACCGTCATAGGTCCATGAAAAGTCTCCTGAGGATGTGGCTCCCTAGCTCTGAAGAAACCATCCTCAGGATGAAAGTCAATAGGTCTGTGTAAAGTCCCCGGTTGAACTGGTTCAGTGCTTCTGTTTTCACTTACCCTTGTTTTATTGACAGAAGGACAATCTTGGAGGCGGTATGAGACAGCAACAAGTGCTTTCTTTACAGCTAAAACAGACCCTTCAATCTACAAAATATATAGAGGAACAGGAATGAATATTTCTTTTCATGTCTAACAAAAAGAAAATAGTAATGATGATAAGCAAACGCTTAAGAAAGTGTTATAGTTGGACAATGTTAGTTAGATTGCATCGAGAATTCAACAGATTCCACTTTTGGAATGTTTTCATATTAAGAGCAGTGATTGAGTGCTACTGGTTTAAAGCAATGATTTGTGACTTGACAGAAGAAAAATCCTTATATAATTACCATGATAAGGCTGGAAAATATTACTGTTATCAACACCCTAATAAATAAAATCTGACAAAAAGCACTAATCAACTAATGTATGCTAGGTTTTCAAATATAGAAACTTTGGTAAGATGCCTGAACTAGGAAAATTTAAAATCTAACATTCAGTGTGTGAAGGAAACTCAACATTTTTAGAAGTAATTATGAAGTCAACCAACACCAAACACTTTCTTCCTTCAATCTCTTAAAGGCCCCTTTTCTTAATATTTCTTTTTCTTTTTGGAGGTTA